TCCTTCCTTCCTTCCTTCCTTCCTTCCTTCCTTCCTTCCTTCCTTCCCATCTTATTAGAGTATATTCTCAAGTAATTTTTTTGTTTGTTTTAGAAAATATCTAAGGGTGTAAACTTTTAAAGACTTAATGCATTAGAAAATGTCTTTACCCTCATATTTGATTGATGGTTTGAATTTCAAGTTTAAAAATATTTTTCCTTGTTCTGCTCAGCACCCATGACCTCCATTCATTCTGAAGACTGGTATCTTTATCTTTTGTATTTTAGATTATTTCTTTTTCTTTGTGCCTTTCTACAATTACTGTTAATCAAATAGTAAAAGTCATATGTCAGCTTTCTGTGTTTCTTAAACAGATTTTTCTTTTACTTTCCTCATTTCTTTGTCCTTTTTTCCCACTTTAAGGCTTTCTCCTGATTTTTTAAAAAAAAATGCTTACTTATTTATTTTCAGAGAGAGAGTGTGAGTGAAGAGTGGGGGAGGGGCAGAGAGAGAGAGAGAGAGAAACCCAAGCAGGCTCTGTGCTGATGCGGGGCTCTAACTCATGAATTGTGAGGTCATGACTTAAATTGAAACCAAGAGTTGGACACTTAACCTACTAAGCCACCCAGGCTCTCTCCTGAATTTTTAAATTTTGGCGTTCTTAATTTTAATTTTCTTTTCTTTTTTTTTTTAACATTTATTTATTTTTGAGACACAGAGAGACAGAGCATGAACAGGGGAGGAGCAGAGAGAGAGGGAGACACAGAATCTGAAACAGGCTCCAGGCTCTGAGCCGTCAGCACAGAGCCCGATGCGGGGCTCGAACTCACAGACCGTGAGATCATGACCTGAGCCGAAGTTGGACGCTTAACCGACCAAGCCACCCAGGCACCCCTTAATTTTAATTTTCAAGTATTATTTCTTAATCTCTGATTGCTTTCTTTCCATAGCTGTCTGTTGTTATTTTATAGATGCAACTATCTTCTTGAATTTGTCTGAGGTAACTAATTAGAATTAAAAAATTCCCCATTCTCTGAATTATCTCAGTTTCCTGCTGGATCATCTCCACCTCCTTAGTCCTTCTATTTTGTGTTTTAGCTTCCTAGGATGTTTGATAAACCTTTATTGTGGGTGCATGTTTATGAGTGAGGGCATGACAGCTCCTGGGTCTCTCCTTTGCCTTTTGTGGTCACTATGGGAGGAGTGGGTCCTGCCTGACCTACGGCCACGTCCTCTGAGTGTTGTGTGTGTTGCTGTTTGTGTAAATAGCGCCCGTCTGCACCGTCTCACAGAAATTAGTCCAGTCTCCGTTCTCTTGTTCTCAGTGTTATAATGGCTTTCTCTTTTTGTGCTTTTTTACTGTCCGATAAATGAGATTTTTAAAAGCAAGAAAGATAAATGTGTATGCACAGTCTCACACTGAATTTTAACCGATGTTTATTTCTGCTTAATCAGCTCGTGATGTTTTATATTCTCTTTAAAGAGAACACGAGGGGCGCCTGGGTGGCTCAGTCGGTTAAGCGTCCGACTTCGGCTCAGGTCATGATCTCATAGCCGTGAGATTGAGCCCGGCATGGAGACTACTTGGGATTTTCTCTCTCTCCTTCTACCCCTCTCCCCCACCTTCACTCTCTCTAAAATTAAAAAAAAAACAAAAAACTAGGGGCACCTGGGTGGCCCAGTCAGTTAAGTCTTCAATTTTGGCTCAGGTCAAGATCTCGCGGTTCGTGAGTTCGAGCACCAAGTTGGGCTCTGTGCTGACAGCTCAGAGCCTGGAGCCTGCTTCGGATTCTGTGTCTCCCTCTCTCTGTGACCCTCCCCCATTCATGCTCTGCCTCTCTCTGTCTCAAAAATAAATAAACATTAAAAAAAAAAATAAAGAGAACACGATAGACCTTGACTTTCTCAGAAACGACTTGTGTGCCAGAAGCCTCAGGTCTGCCCATGATCTGGGTTTCACATTTGTTTTGTTTTGTTTTGTTTTGTTTTGCCTTATTTTAGCCTCATGACAGCTTTGTGACTCCTCGGAGATGGAGTGAACTTCCTTCCTTGACACTGGTCTGCTGTGCTCCATCTACTGAATTTCTATGTGCTCCTTTCTGTTAGGAATCACTCGACTTTCTGTACCTGTCTGTTTCTGCCAGTCATGTTGATAAGCCCCCGGGGCAGTATCTTTTTCTTCGGAGCTCGGAGGAACAAGAGCAACAGGGGAGCCAGGAGCTAACTTCCGAGTCTGGGGCAGTTCTGAGATTGTAACTATTGTGTGGCTGGCACGGCTCTGCCCTCTCTGCCCGATGCACCATTAAACTGAGCAGGAAGGAGCAGGGAGGCGTCCTCTGACTCGGGGCCGCCTTCGCACCCCTTGGCACTTGCTTCCGGAAGGACTCCACCTCTCCAGGATGCGCCCCCCATCTCTGTGCCACTGTAACACCCATGTGAGCAGAAGAGTTGTAGGCGATGGGACGGAGGTAGACAGAGCTGAGAGAACTACAGGGCGTGTTCTCTGCTCCCAGGAGCCTGCGGACCGGTTAGAGTACCACCGATTAGTAACCAATCCGATCCTACACAACTGTTAGGTTGTGCGTGAACTTTTAAGTGTCGTAAGTGCTCTGCAGAAGTCAGCAGAAGTGAGGGCTTGAGTTGGCTTAAATGGGCAGAATTTTGGAGGGGAGAAGCCTGGCTGTCCAGGCAGTCGTGGGAGCCGAGGTTCAGAGTTAACCTCAGGCAGAGCTTGGGATGACCGGAGGTGGCCGCAGCAGGTGGCTGGAGGCCAAGCCTGGAATTCTCCGCACGGACAGCAGGGCCCACGGCGACTTTGTAAGGAGTTTCCAGTCCTAGAGGAGGCGGGCCGGAGAGGCCAGAGCCGTCAGAGAGGTGGCTGCCGTCTCAGAACCAGGCGCCAGGCTTCAGGACGCAGCGCCGTCGGACCCCCCTCCACCTCTCTGCGTTCTTTTGCGGCCTTGGGTTTGGGTAGTTGAAGACGCTGGAGATGTGCAAGCTCAGAGAGAAGGGGGCACGTGCAAAATGTATCGGGGGAGCCGCTGGATTTTGCAAGTAGAATCTTGGAGGGAAAGGGTAAATGTCCTCACTTCCCATGTAGGTGATAGCTCACAGTCGGTATCAGAAGTCGAAAAGAATCTCCATCTTCCTGAGCATGCAAGACGAAGTCGAGACAGAAGAGATCATCAGGGACATTTTCCGGCAAGGGAAGACCTGCTTCATCCCACGGTACCGGTTCCAGGACAACCACATGGACATGCTGAGACTGACGTCCCCCGACGAAATTCCGCTACTTCCCAGGACATCCTGGAATATCCTTCAGCCTGGAGAGGATGAGGTCCGGGAGGAAGCCTTGTCCACAGGCGAGTGTTATTGGTATTGGGACTGGCACGTGAGGGTGCCGTGGGACTGTGGCCCACTGGTCACGTGCAAGTCACTGGGGGTCGATTTTCTTACCGGGGTGAGCCCTGTGGTGCTTACATTCCAAGACACCCCTGTTAGCTGGCTTAGGGTGAGGTGCTCCCTAAGCCGTCAGGTGCCAGCCGTGAGAGGAGTAACCTCTCATGCCCTGGCCTCTCAATTTCTGTTCTCTTCCAATGTAACCCCGTAACCTACAAAATCAGTAAGATGGGGCGGGAGGGGATTGAGCCAGGGCTCGTGGTATTTGGGGGGTTACCTACTCTGCTTCCTTAACCTCCCCCTGTTGTCCAGCCCTGCCCTTTGGCAGACATTTAGGCACCAAGGGTACACTCAGACCACCTCCCTGCTGGCCCTGCACAGTAGAGCAGATGAATGCCAACATTATCAGACTCTCGTATTTTTAAGGGGAAAGATGGCAAGCATTTTAAGACAGTGAGACGATGAAGGGGCGTGGTATATCTTGGGGGCGGCCCAGGCATATAAGATGAGGCCCTGACATTGCTCAGACTTCATGCAGCCACGTCTCCAGACTCGCAGGCTTGAGGGTGGGACCCAGGACAGTCCACTTCTGTCTGACTCTGGGTTAACTGCTCCTCCAGTGCTCACATCACCTCTGTAACGCCCCTGCTGAAATTCCGGAGGCCGAGCCCACTGTCTTTGCTCTGTCCATTCTGCAGTGCGTTCTTTAGGTTGAGCCAAAATGCATCAGCCTGAACTTCTATGCTTTTGTTCTATTTCTGTGTAAGTACAGCTGCTGGAAAGTAAGGACGAAGCGTGATCTTTCCTCCTAATTTAGTTGCACTTCCTGGTTAGATAAACTCAGGCCAAGTAAGTGAGCTGACTCATTATGTATGGTTTTTAGCACGTGGCTGGCATGATTTGGCACGTGGGCAGAATTACTCGTTTCACTATCAACTCATTGCTAGCCAAGCATATAGCATTTTGGTAATGTTTCCTGAGCATCTCCGTTGTGTGAGACACTGTTAGGTCTGCAGAGACGAGGTCCTGGACTTCAGGGGGCTCACACTCTAACTGGGGAGACAGCAAGTGTATGTACGTAGAAAAATACCCCAGCCTGCAGTGTATGTCAGATACAAGCGTCAAATGCAAAGGTACAGAACGTTACCGAATGTAGACATTCAGGGCTTGGCTCTGAGTAGAAAGAAGCCTACCCAAGACACTTCACTTTTTCCTCCTCTGTGGCGTTTCCACGCCGTGGTTGTGGGACCAGCTGCTCCCCCCCCGTGGGTTCTTGGCAGGTACTTGCAGTCTGGGTTGCAAGTGGATAGGGGATTACGTCTGGTTTCTTGGAACTGCCGCCTGGGAGGGGAGGCTCTTCGCTGCTGTCGGGAGAGGTGTTTGAGCAGGCAGCCTCTGCCTTTTGTTATCTGCCCGCGTCGCACTCTGGACGCGGGTGTCCCCGGTATCAGCTGCTAACAACGGGCTAGTTTTGGGGGAAGTACAAATCTCACTTCACAGTGTGTGGGACGAGCTGATTAGAGCTCAGACCGCCGTCCCGCCGTAGCTCCTGTAGCCGGTTTATCTTTCGGGTTTGCTCGAGTCATCGCCGCTTAGAAAGGAGTGACCTGAGCAAAGGTCCACCTGGGGTTTGCTACCTAACAAAATAGCAGATTGCTAAGTAGAGTAGAGGGGCCGCCTCTCTGCTGAACTTCTCCTCAGAGTGAGGGCTGCTCAGGCAACTAGATTAGCCAGGAGTCTTTCCACGGAGAGTACGTGATCTGAGTCAACCTGGCTTAACGGAAAAGGGGATTTTATTGGCTCAGAGACTGAGAAATCCACAGAAGGGCGAGTTTTTGATACACTAGACCGAGTGATTAGGGTCAACTCTGGCTCTGCTGTGTGACTCCGCTGTCATCCGTATGTTCCAGTTGCTACATGGTGGCCCGTGGTGGCCCGCAGTGGCCCGTGGTGGCCTGTGGCAGCTTTGGGTTCCACAGCACACTTGCTGTTAGCAGTCATGGAAGAAAGGAGCAAGTTTGCCAGTAAAATCCTGGTATTATGCTCGCTGACCCAGGTTGGGTCAGATGGCCTTTCCCAAACCGGTCACCATGGCCGGGGACATGGACTGGGCCAGCTCCCTCATGCCCTCCCTGTGCCATTTCCTGCAACCAGGGAGAAGGATGTGCTGCCCGATAGGGGGTGCTGTGCTAACCACTGAGCTGACGGGACAGTTGGGTGGGTGACCCCCTACGGGGAAGAGTAGTGCGGTTTGAGAGCAAGGGGAGCAGGGGCCAGAGCATCCACGTTCACTGTCACAGGCACCGCTGTCCTTCCTGAAATCTGCAGAGGACAGCATGCTGCTGTGTCCTCACTGTCGGCCTTCGTGTTTTATTTCTGATCTTTCCAGAGGCTCTGTGTGTGGGTGCCGAGTCCTCACGGAACGATCACAAAGAAGACTTTCCATCCCAACCCAAACCCTCCACGGTAGTGGCGTGGGACCCTGCCGGGGACACGGTTTTGAGCGTGTGGCCTGCGGCTTCCAGCTGGGTTGTTCGTGCTCTGTGCTTCCGGGCGGGCTATGGCTGCTTTGCTGAAAGTAACGCCCGTGAAACCGACCTCGTTTCTTTCTTTAATAGGGTTGCACGGCCTCTGAAAGAATGTGGTAAGGAGAGTGGGTTTGAATTTCATCGAGGCGTCTGACTGAGTCATGATGTCCTTGAGGACAAGCTGGCTAAATTCAGACAGATAATAATACTTTGTTCAGAAAATACGTATTGAGCGCCTGGTCTGTGGGGGTGTGATGGGGGCACAGCAGGGAACGGGGCGGACCTGTCCCCACCGCTGGGGAGCCGGCAGCTGTCCTGGACACAGCGGGGTCGTGCTGGCCTCTCACCGGGCTCTCTGTCCCTCTCAGCTCGCCCACTGTCCCCGAACTTGAGCATTTGTGTAAGTTCCTTCTGATCATTCCCGCTGTGCTTTTCACATTTCTGGGAGAAGCCGGTTTGTGGACGTAGGATGCTCCTGGTCTGTTTTGCACCCTCCCAGGTGTTCAGATAGCTCCAGAGTTTCCTGTGCAGTTTTTCATCACCTGTTTCTGATTCTAGTTTAGGGGAATCTTCTGTCCACCGTTTTGAGTCTTCATTTCAGTTCCGTTGGAATAAATTTCGAATTGGTTCCTGGACATATTAATTTTCCTAAAATACCTTTGGGGATAGGTCACCCGCCCTGTTCACGCCTCTTCCCCGGATGCTGGACGGGCCTGAGCTCCGAGCAGACCACGGTTCCTGCCAGCTAGTTCTGGCCAGAGGAAGGGACATCGGGTAGAATTTGAATATTCAGGCCACCCGCTGGGCCTTACCTGCCCTCCCACCTTGACCCCGGCTTCTCTCTGCCACTCCTCTGCTTTGGGTCTGCTGGAAGCCAGCCTTTTCCCAGCAGTCAGACCGTAGGTTGGAGTCCGATAAACCGGGTGTGCGTTCTCATCTGGCTGCTTGCTGTGACTGGAAAGATGGCTCGCGTCCTTTGAGCTCCAGTCATCTCCTCCACAGACGGATGTCGCGGAGCCGCTTCCGCGAGATGGCGTCAGTCGGTGCCGCCGATCTCGCTGCCGGTGACCCGTCGTCCGCAGGCACGCCGCGCGCATCACCGTGACACCCGCGTCCGCTGTGTTTCCGGGCTGGAATGTGTTCCGTGTTTGTTCCTTCAAGGCCGTGTCTTTTAGTCTAGTGCTTAAGCTCCCTGCCTTTGGAGGCAGACTGATCCGAGTTGGAATCTAGGCTTGACCATCTGGGAAGTTACCTGCCTCTCAGAGCACATGTTTTTTTCATGCGACAGTTGCGGGAGGGGGGATGTGACGATGTGCAGGAAGTGGCTCGTGCGGCCCCTCGCGAGGGGGTCCCCGGACGCCGCAGGTACGATTCCGGAGCTCAGCTACCTTTCCACACCTTCCCCGGCGGGCCCCCCCCCCCCTCCCCCCCCCGATACCGCAGTCCCCTTGTCTAATTCCCACTCACCTGGCTTCTAACACATGCTCCCTGTTTTGTTAATTCTCCTTGGGGTACATTTTTTTTTAATTGCTGATGGACTTTGTGAAATTGTGATTGATAATAAGAAATGCGTATACTTGCTCTTTGGCCCTGGTTTCTGGCACAGAGCTCCTAAAACCCGTGGAGTGTCCTAAGGGGTAAGAGTGATAAAGGTGTCTCAGTATTCATCAGTAGTCAGCCCCGCCCCAGTGTATGTTAATGACATCACGTTCCAGCGCACCCAGGGATGGGGGCTGGTCACCGGGGAACCAATGGCGTCTCTGGAGGGCTGGAACTTTCAGGCCAGGGAGGCCAGTGGCCAGTGATTTAATCGCACCTATGTCTTGAAGCTCCCATAAGAACCCAAGAGGACGGGTTCAGAGAGCTTCTGGGTTGGTGAACGGAGGGAGGTTTGGGAGAGGGGTGCACCTGGAGAGGGCAGGAGAGCCTTGTGCCCATCCCCACACCCGGCCCTCTGCACCTCTTCCGTCTGGCTGCTCCTGAGTTATAACATACTTTTTTAAAAATTAAAAAAAATTGTTTTTTAACTTAAATTCAAGTTAGTTAACATACAGTATAGTATTGGTCTCAGGAATAGACCCCAGTGATTCATCACTCACATATAACACCCGGGGCCCATCCCAACAGGTGGCCTCCTTAATGCCCATCCCCCATCCAGCCCATCCCCCCACCCAACACCCCTCCAGCGGCCCTCAGTTTGCTCTCTGCCTTTAAGAGTCTCTTGTGGTTTGCCTCCCTCTCTGTTTTTATCTTAGTTTTGCTTCCCTTCCCCTGTACCTCCCTTCTACCTCCACACTGTTTTTCAGAGCAGCTGCACCAGTGTGCATTCCCACCAACAGTGCAAGAGGGTTCCCCTTTCTCTGCATCCTCGCCAACACCCGCTGTTTCCTGAATTGTTCATTTTAGCCATTCTGACAGGTGTGAGGTAGTATCTCCTTGTGGTTTTGATTTGAATTTCCCCGATGATGAGTGATGATGGGCATCTTTTCATGTGTCTGTCGGCGGTCTGGATGTCTTCTTTGGAGAAGCGTCTATTCATGTCTTCTGCCCATTTCCTCACTGGATTACTTGTTTTTTGGGTGTTGAGTTTGTTAAGTTCTTTATAGATGTTGGATACTAACTTATCCGATATGTCATTTGCAAATATCTTCTCCCATTTCCTTGGTTGCCTTTTGTTTTGTTG